ATGTCTGTTTCTTTAACTTGTTTTACTTCTTTTTCTATTAATAACACTCATCACCTCTTAACATATGTTTCTTTGTTTACTTTTTATTATTGTTCATTAGTGGTCTCCCCCACATTGTTTGTTACACTGCTGTATCCTCAGGGCTTAAGATAACACAGTAGCAGACACAAAGTAGGCTTTCAACAAATATTTGTTAGATGAATGATTGAAGGAGTCAGATAGTATGCTAGGTTCTAAAATAGAAATGTGAGCAAAAATGGAGGTGGGCTCTGCCCTCGTGGAGCTTGCTGTCTGGATGGGGAGGCAAAATGATGCATCCATCACACAAACACATGTAATATGTGTTGCAGTCATGAGATGGGCTACAATGGGAGGGAATATGATACGAGGAGAGTGTACAGCAGGCATTGGACCCTGTCAGGAAGGACATGGGAAGCTTTTGTGAGGCACTGATGTGTGGGCTGAAATCTGAAGGATGAATAGGTAAAGGAAGATGACAGAATCCTATTTATCTTTTGAAAAGATCACTCTGGATTCAATGAAGAGAATGGATGAGAGGGAGCAAGGATGGCATCTATAGGATGATTAGGAGGCTATAAAAATCCTTCAGCTGAGGGGTGACTGTTGTCTGAACTAGGGGTGGCCATGCTAGATACACATCTGGATTTGAGAATTATTTATGAAATATACAATAGATGAGGCTTATTGATGGATTGTATATGTGAGGTAGCAAAGGGGTGACAAAAGGGACTTCTTCCGGGCTTCTACAGAACTGTATGAGTGATTGAAAGAGTATTAGAAAAGGAATGAAAGGGGCAGCCTTGCAAAAATAACAGGAAAATACCTAATCCTACCATTTCCCCAGTAACAATTAAAGATCAATCCTGTGAGTTATCTCACTAACAGGTACCCTGCAGGAGTTTTGTTTTGCACAACTTCTGAAAAGAGCTGAATGGACAGAAAAGAGACATAAATCTCTCTTTCAAAATTGTTGTTTGAGAATTTGCTTTTACAGAGTTCCTGAGTAAACAGCAGAAAAACAAGCTATAGCTTCAACCATATCTAGAGGACAGAGTCACATCTCCTGTGATAATCCCTCTCCAAGGAAAAGCAGAAAACCAAGTCTTGGACTTTGACATCCTGCTGCCACTTTTGTTATCAACTGCCATCACTATTTTTTTTTCTCTTCATTCCCCTTAAAATCAGCAAGCCACTTGGCCTCACTGCTGGCATCCCTTTCTCTTTCTCTTTCTTTGGGATGCCATACCATCTCCATGCTCTCTTTCTTCCCCCTCTCTTTTCCCTCCCCTCTCTCTTCTAAGAAGGATGAACATGTTTACTTTTTTTTTTTTTTTTTAGACAGAGTCTTGCTTTGTTGCCCAGGCTAGAGTGACTGCCATGGCGTCAGCCTAGCCTCACAGCAACCTCAAACTCCTGGTTTCAAGCAATCCTCCTGCCTCAGCCTCCTGAGTAGCTGGGACTACAGGCATGCGCCACCATGCCCGGCTAATTTTTTCTATATATACTAGTTGGCCAATTAATTTATTTCTATTTATAGTAGAGACGGAGTCTCGCTCTTGCTCAGGCTGGTTTTGAACTCCTGCCCTCGAGCAATCCACCCGTCTCGGCCTCCCAGAGTGCTAGGATTACAGGCGTGAGACACCATGCCCGGCCACATTTTTACTTTTATATCTTAATTTCTGCATGAGAAATCTTTCTCCACTTATGCTGTGAGCACCTACTAGGCTTTCCACCCTAACAAGGAACAGGTTTATTCTATTCTGTGTTTATATGTGTATATGGGGGAGAACAGAACAGGGAGAGAGAAAAAAGGTCATGAATTTGGTTTTGACATTTTGGTTTTGAGGTGTTATTGAGACCTCCAATAGGAGATGTCAAGTAGACCACTGGTTATACGAGTGAAGAGCTCAGACACATAGCCTGGGCTGTGGATGTGAATTTTTGAGTTGTCTGCTAAGGTAGTATTTGAAAATGTGGGAGTGGACAGAGTACATTCAGTGATAAGAGGAGAGGAGTAGAGTGACTTGAGGAACCTCAACACTTAGTGCTGACAGCACTGGGAAAAGAGACTAACAGGATTGACTAGAGATGTCAGAGGAAAAGGAGGAGAATGTGGTATCACCTCAGAGGAGTGTTTCTAGAAGAAGGGAGTCCTCAGCCACCTCAAAACTCTTGAAAAAGGACCTGAGAATTGAAAAATACTGATTGCACTAACAACATGTGGGTTGTTAGGGATAACAACAGTGGATGATGTTAGGGATTTATTGCTTTTGTTGCAGAACAATTGCTAGGGGGGTGAAGAAGCGATGAAATGGAAACACTGTGAGCAAAAAAAAGAAGAGAAAAGAAAACTGAGGGACTATTTTGGGATGGGATGGGGGAATTGAGAGCTTAGTTGATATAATAAGTTTCCTAGAAGGTAGGAAGGAAAGTGAGTACCAGTAAAGGCTTGTTTGAAATGCAAAGGAGAGATCCTTTGTTGTAATAGGAGGAAGAAAGAGAATGGGGGTGGAGGGTGTAAACTTAAGTGGATCTGTGTTTGATATGGAAGAGATGGAGGGATTGGCTTCTAGTTTCTCTGTAATTAAAAAGGAGAGGTTAACTGCTTCTGTGAATGCCATTAATAAAGGTGCCTTGTAAACTAATTGTTTTATATGTGGGTAGATGCTTAGCTCTCCAACTATTTCACATCCATGCTCACAGTTGTGAAAACAGAAACAATAGGTGCTTAAGAAATACTAGGTTGATTTTGATTCTAATGATGGTGATGACAATGGTAAACATGATGATGCCCTGAAGGCAAGGAAAAGTTTAAGCTCCAATCAGGCCCCTATCATAAGGCGCCCAACCGGTGAGAGGAATGAGATTCACAGTGGGCGAGTCACTGCCCAAGAAAAGGAAATTCACCAGCACATTCCCTTCTGGACCAGGACCCTAAGGGTTAAGATCAACGAGAGTCAGCCATCGTTCCTTCCTAGAGAGGCTCCGGCAAAGCCCGCCGGGAAAGATGGGGTAACTTCCTCTTTCTGTCCTCCGGGTTTAAGCGTTTAAGACCCTAGGTTGGTGGGGTCCGAAGGAGTCGGGGCTCCTTCTTCCGGGATCGCTGGGGGTGCGGGGCACCTGGGGCGTAGCCCCCAGAACAGTGAGTTCCTTCTCGGGGCGAAGAGGGCCGTGGGCTGTGGGCCAGAGGAGCGGAAACTGCGCAGCCCAGGCTGCCGCGCACGTCCCGGAGGGGATCCTGCAGCTGCGAGGGGCGGAGGCCCGGCATCGCCCGCCCGGCCACCGCGCCTTCCTCGCCTGCGGGGTTCCTTCAGGGATCCTGACTGCCAGAAATGGTCTGGTCTCCTGGAACTTCGCTCCGCACTGTGGTCCCTCCAGCGGTTCTTAAAGCTAAGCTTCAGGCAGTGCGTTTTCTGTGGAAGGCTTTCTGCTCAAAGCACCGCCCTTTCCTAATCACCTGTTTGCTCCTGAAAAACAACCCTCCTTTGTGGAGTGACAGCCTAGGGACAGCCTTTTAATACCATTTATCGCCTTGAATTTCCCACAGTTTTGCTGAGCCTGAAGGGCTCCTTTACTACCAAATTTAATAGTATATTATCAGGGAAAATTATGGGACGGTAATCTGTTACCCAGACTCATGCTTCCCTTCTAAATACTTTGATAAAAATATGTGACTCAGCAAAACATATTACTTCATTGGAACTACCTACCCCCCCCCCTTTTTTGTGTTCAGGTAGATGTTTTTTCCACTCAAACACTGGGTCTATGTGTAATTTAGATTAGTTTCACCTTTCTCTAGAACAAATCTCCAGTTGCTGAGTGAGCTTACAGAATACCAACCTACTTTGGTATAAGGTTTAGGGATGCAGATCTGTTTTCTAATATATTCTAAAATAAAGGTACTCTTTGGGGATCACTTGCAGTTTGGAATTATGCCCAGCTCTGCTTCTTGTTTTGGGTTACTGTAATGGATAAGAATGTGAAAGTCAGCATCCAGTCAGACGTGGGGCTCAAACCTGTTCTACCACTTTCTGTGTGACCTTAGGAAAATTTTTACTGCCTTTCTAATTCATCTATGAAATGCTGGTAATTGTTAATACACTTCAAGGGGCTACTCTTAAATGAGAAATATGTACAAATTATTTAGTTTATTACCTGGCAGTCATAGGGTGAAAATTATAATTACAGTATATTTTGTTGTTGTTTTTTATGTGTGCCTATGTGTATCCTTTCTTTAGGCTCATATTTTTCCCAAAATTATCCTTTATACCCTGAAATAGATGCCAAAGCCATATATAACTGCCTTCCAATGGTACTTCTTCTATTCCCTTAAAGTAGGTGAGGGATTATAGTTGGCTCCAGAAGATAAAGTTTAGGCTGAAATAGGTATTGTGATTATGATACACTTAGAAACTTAGAGCAAAGAAGGAAGAGGTCTCTCTTTAGTTTCCTTCTCCTTTTTATATTTAGGGGTTATTAGCTATAATTATTCCAGCCCTGCTTTGTCCTAATTTCTTATTACTGGCTATATAAATCCTAACTTTCCTTTGAAATTGACTTCAAAGGTTTCTTTCTTCTGTCAAAGACCAAGTTATTCTTTTGAAACTAGATAGGGTGCTTTCTCTTCTTTAGCTGCTTTTTATGCCTTCTATTGATTCCTTGAAGTTGTTTTTTATTTATTTATTTATTTTTATTTGAGAGAGGGTCTTCATATAGCCTAGGCTGGAGACCAGTGGCACGATTATAGCTCATTATAACCTCAAACTCATGGGCTCAAGCAATCCTCCTGCCCTAGCCTCCTGAATAGCTGGGACTACAGACATGTTTCATCATGCCCACCTAATTTTTAAATTTTTTGTAGAGGTGGGGTCTTGTTATGTTGCCCAAGCTAGTCTTAAACTGCTGGCCTCAAGCAGTCCTCCTTCCTTGGCTTCCAAAAGTGCTAAGATTACAGGGATTACAGGGGTGAGTCACTGAGCCCCAGTCCTTGAGTTCTTTATAAGTTTTATTATTGGTGCCTTTTCTAAAAAATTACTTTGTTTTTTTTCAATTAAAAGTGTTTCTAAGCTATGAGTGGACAGTGAGTATTAGTATGCATTCTACTTTTAAATCTTAATCCTCAGATCTTTAACATGAAGATTTAATTATTTACATTGTTATTTCTTTAGAAAAGATTAATCGGCTAACCATTAATTCTAAACACTTGTTTCTGACATAAGATTTTTCTAATAGGGCTTCCAAGAGCCATATTTCTTATTTTCAGCATGGTTGACAGAAAATTCCATGCCTACTATCGTTCTGTTGCCATAGTTGGGAAGAAAGGAAGTATACACTTCAACAAATGCCTCCAAACATGATATGTTTCCTTCCACAGGATTTCTGATCCCTAACCTTGCTATGATCATTGTGATGGAACAAGAAAAAGAATTGTTGGTTGCATATTCTAATGGCTTCATGGAGAAGGAGAGTTTGAAAAGCCCCCTCACAGGTGAGGAATCAAGAAGATGATATGAATCCTTAGGAAATTTGTTACAATATGTGTTAACAGAGTATGTAGAAAGAATAGGGCATTAGAATGAAACAAACCCTAGTTTGATTTCCAGCTCTGTCACTATAAACTATGTGAATTCTTTCAGTCTTAGTTTTCTCATCTTTAAGAAAAAAATTAATGATAATATCTATTTCATATGTATTTTAGGATTAATGAGATACCACATATAAAGCTACTAGTCTTAATAAATCTAGTGGCTATTGTTATTTCTATAGTATTTGCTCAGATTTTAACAAAGCTATTGTCTGGTTTTCACCTCAGATAGGATCCTATTCAATTTCAAAAGCCCTTTTTTCTAAGTCTTTTAGAATAAAATTTAATGCATTTATTTTTAAATTGATATCCCCCTTGGCAATTGCTGACAGTGGTTCAAATAAATCATTAGTGTCATTACTAAGTACAAAAAATTCACTTGCTTCTGGTGAACACAGGGAAAAGAAGCAAAACTAGCTTTAAAAACTTTATGTAAAATAATTTATGAGGTTTTACATTGTTATTCCATCTCATCCACTGCAATTTAGAATTTACTTCTCTAGTAGAGATTTGGGATTATGTTTAGTATATTTGTTTATTCTTACAGGAGATGAAAGTAAGAATAATTTGGGAACTGTTCCACACAATAATCCTAAGGCAGATATACTTGAAGAGAGAGCTTCAAAATGGTCTAAAAGAAATGGCCCACAAAATTCTAAGCATGAGGATGCAAAAGAAATGCCATTGACATCGTCCCAGGGAGATGAGATTTGGTGTCAAGATTCCTATGAGAATAATGTCAAGTCGAGGAATTGGGGGAATTCTATAGGGAAAGAAGAGGAAAAACCCAATCACCAGGAATGGGACCCAGGAAAACATGCCAGTGCCTCTGTCCAGCAGAATTCATCCTTTGGAGACAAACCGTACAAATGTTCTGAATGTTGGAAAAGCTTCAATAATAGTTCCCATTTGCGTACTCACCAGAGGACCCACTCGGGAGAAAAGCCTTATAAGTGCTCTGAGTGTGGGAAATGCTTTTGTAACAGTTCTCACCTGATTCAGCATCTAAGAATGCACACAGGAGAGAAGCCCTACCAGTGTGGTGAATGTGGGAAAAGCTTCAGCAATACCTCCCATCTTATTATCCATGAGAGAACTCACACAGGAGAGAAACCCTATAAGTGTCCCGAATGTGGGAAGAGTTTCAGTAGCAGCTCTCACCTTATTCAGCATCACAGATCACACACAGGTGAAAAACCATATGAATGTCCTGTTTGTGGAAAAGGTTTCAGCCACAGCTATGTCCTAATAGAACATCAGAGGACTCACACTGGAGAAAAACCTTATAGGTGCCCTGATTGTGGGAAGAGTTTTAGTCAGAGTTCCAGCCTGATTCGCCACCAGCGGACACACACAGGTGAGAAGCCCTACAAATGTCTTGAGTGTGGAAAAAACTTTGGTTGTAATTCTACTCTAATAAAGCATCAGAGAATACATACAGGAGAAAAACCCTATCAGTGTCCAGAATGTGGGAAGAATTTCAGTCGAAGTTCAAACCTTATTACACACCAGAAAACACACACAGGAGAGAAATCCTATGAAAGTTCTGAATATGAAGAAAGTTTGAGTCAGAACTGCGATGTGATGGAAGAATGCAGAATCCAGCCAGGAGAGAAACCATATAGATGTTGTGAATGTGGGAAGAGTTTTGGCCTTAGCTCCCATCTCATTAGACATCAGAGAACACATACAGGGGAAAAACCTTACAGATGTTCTGAGTGCTGGAAAACTTTTAGTCAGAGTTCCACACTGGTGATTCACCAAAGGACACATACAGGAGAGAAACCTTATAAGTGTCCTGATTGTGGTGAATGCTTCAGTCAAAGCTTTAACCTTATCAGGCACCGGAGAACCCACGTAGGAGAAAAACCTTACAAATGTACCGACTGTGAGAAATGCTTCAGTAGAAGTGCCTACCTCAATCAGCATCGGAAAATTCACATAGAAAAGTCCTTTGAGTCTCCTGAAGTTGGGGATTTTCCTCATGAATGGACTTGGAAAAACTATTCAAAGGAAATACCCCTTATCTCTTCATTTTCAGTCTCAAATTCATCTTCTTCCTGAGTCCCAAAGCCTGGTTGTTTCCACCCCCGACCCTTCCACCCCCGCCATTGGACCATTACAATTAACGTATTCTTTGATCAGTGTGCTACAATGTTTCTTTGGTGTATTTGTCAAAACATTTGGAAAATGTCAACCTCTCACTTTAGAGGATGGGAAGACCCAGGTCACCAGGTTATTGGATCTGTCCTGTGAGAGATACTCCCAAGGATGAAGTAAAAGGAAATTTTTATTTATTTATTTATTTATTTAAGGTAAGAGAGGGATAGCTTCAAAGGAATGCATAAAGAGTGATCCTAGGAGTAATAAGTAAAAGGACTTGAGAACTTGAAGCTAGGATGGTTATTGAATTACCTTATTTTCTTTTGCCTTATGGGTAGAGATGAATCATTATTGGTCTCATGGGTTTACCCAGAGAAAGGGTCTTTTTGAACAAATAATATAATTTCTTGGATGTTTTGTTGGGTCTTAAGAAAAAAAGATTCATATTTTTTTTTTTTTTTTGAGACAGAGTCTCGCTTTGTTGTCCAGGCTAGAGTGAGTGCCGTGGCGTCAGCCTAGCTCACAGCAACCTCAAACTCCTGGGCTCGAGTGATCCTTCTGCCTCAGCCTCCCGAGTAGCTGGGACTACAGGCATGCGCCACCATGCCCGGCTAATTTTTTATATATATATCAGTTGGCCAATTAATTTCTTTCGATTTATAGTAGAGACGGGGTCTCGCTCTTGCTCAGGCTGGTTTTGAACTCCTGACCTTGAGCAATCCGCCCGCCTCGGCCTCCCAAGAGCTAGGATTACAGGCGTGAGCCACAACGCCCGGCCTAAGATTCATATTTTAAAATGCATTTTTATTCACTTAAAATTAACTTTTATAGCATCTAGAACTGTACTGTCCAATATCATAGCCTCTAGCCATATGTGGCCATTTAAATTTATATTAATTAATATTTACTTAGATGAATGTTTAAAATTTAAAATCCAGTGCCCTGGTCACACTAGCCACTTGCTAAGTGCTTGGTAGCCACTTGTGACTAGTGGCTATTGTATTGGATATCATAGAAGGTTCATTCTTTCAGGATCATCATTCTTGACAGACTAGTAAATATTTTGTATAAGACTGTAGGAATATGCTCTGGGGTTTTTGCTCTCCAAAAGGAATTGCAATATAGAGTAGAAATGGGATAGAGTTTTGAAGGTACTGGGTCTAAAGATTGGATATTCTAATAATTATGTGTTATAATTTATGTGCAGCCAACTGGGTTATCAAGTGACTGCCTTGACCAAAGCCAGAATAGTAGGTAGGATTCCTGAATTCTGTTTATAAGTTTTTGACAAAAAGTCTTTTCCCTGAGTTTACCCATTATGTAATTCTGGGTCAGCTCAGGAACTGTTTTCTTCCCCTCTAATAATTAACCCACTAATTCTGAGCCAGTGTCCAAGGACATTTGCCATTGGACACTGAGATTCCTTAGCTCCAGTACTGGCAATTTTCTTTTGCCTCTTCACATACTTGGTATAGGGATCTCATAACTAGGACGTCTCCTTCCCTACTCATCTGTACTATGACAATAATGCTTTGGAAAGTTTTAGATATATCCTCTTCTCCCTCTCCTATTTTTTCCTCCTAGGGCAAAAGGTAGATGGGAAGGAAGGTTAGGACTTCTGAGTTGCCCAGGATTTCGTCTCACTTTTGGATGCAAAATATATTTTATTAAGAATATGTAGAGACACATATTAGGAACATGGAGCCAGTTCTGGCTGCTGCAAAGAGCTGTAGCTGGAGGGCAATTGGATTGCATGGGGATTATTTCATTTTTCATGATTGTGGTGCACCTGATACTGGCAAGGCAATGTCTGTTTTTGTATTGTTTATTATTTTAAAATAAAGCAACAGCTAACAAAGGTATGTAAGAAGTGTTTGAGGGTGATTTTCTGCTTTCAAAGGGGAAAACATTTATGGGGCATCATTGGCTTTTATGTGACTCTCACCTAAACATCTTTCAACCTTGTGTGTTATATAGTATTGCTTAAATTTTCCTAGATTTTAATATCTCAGGACAAGTTTTTATAGCATTTTATTTTTTACCACAGACAACTAAGAGCACCCCTCCTTCCAGTAAAGTTGAAATCAAGTCAAAGCTGAGGATGGTCCAGAGGGTGGGGCTTGGTTAGAAGGCTACAAATGCAAATGGGATGCCTGTGTAAGACCCCAAACTAGCCTAACCAGCTCTCCGCTTCTGTAACCACACTTGCTTTTAGAAAACCAAGACCCCACACCCCTTCCGTCCTTCCAGTAAGTAGCTGTTGCAAGTTCCCGGAACTGAGTGCAACCAGTTGTGCAAGACAAGACCAGTGGAATTTCCCCACCCTAAACTCCCTAACCACCGGCGTGCGGTTTTAGCCTATAAAAAACCCCTAAGCTTGAGAGTCGGGGCGGCAGCTCCCCTAGCTCGGTGATGCTGCTAGCTCCTGCGCTGCGCTGGAAATAAATCCTCTTGCTCTCTTGCATCAAGCCTCTGGACTCTGAGTCTTTTTAGGCGGTCGTCTCTCTCCCAAACGGGCTGTACATTTCTATGGCCCAACACCTGGCAGTCATGACATGGTGGGTTTGTAGCCGCCTCCAGGCAGAGGTAACTTGTCAGTGTTAAGACAGCCAGGTTTCTGATCTAACATTGCTTGACTCAGGTAAAATTAGTACATAATCGAGCATTTGACAGGTTGAGGGATAGAATGGAAGCTTAGTTGTAAATTGGCCATGATTAATTTTGAGCCATGCTAAGTCATGGATAAATGTTCACATTAAGAAGATATTAGTTGATTAGACTGATAAATACAGGTGAAAGATCTTCCACGTTAACATTGCTTATTTTCTGATCATTAAAGTAATGCTTGCTAATTGTAAAACCTACAAAGAAGTATAAATTAGGAAATAACTAAAAGTATGAAGATCAAAATTAAAATGACCCATAATTTTCTCTAGAGATTACTCACTGTGAAAGTTCTGGGGTCTTTCCTAACAACCTCTTTTCTAAGCATATATATGAATAAATATTTTTTAAAATTGGATCATATCGTATATGTATTGTGTCTTGATTTTTAAAAAATATATCATTTGTCATTTTAGAATTATTATTATAAAACCAGGTGTGGTGGCTTGAGCCTGTAATCCCAGCTACTTGGGAGGCTGAGGTGAGAGGATCACTTGAGGCCAGGAGTTTGAAACCATCCTGGGCAATATAGTGAGACCCTGTTTCTAAAAAATGAAGTAAAATAATTATTACAAGGTTCTTAATGGCTTCATATTATTACACAGAATGGGTGTGCCCTAAAAATTTAATTATCCTAGTATTAGACATTTGTATTCTTTCTACTTGCTTACTGTTAAAAATAACAGTGCTGTGAGCAGAGTTTTGTGGTTTTGTTTTGGTGTTGTAGTTGTCATTGTTTAGTGTTGCTTTTCTTTGTTTTTTGTATGCAAATCTTAGTGTACATGTCTAATTATTTCCATAGGGTGAATTCCTAGAGGTAGGATTATTAAATCAAAGGGCATAAATGATTTTAAAGGCACATTGGTTAATAGAAATTTTATCAATTTAAATTACTCCAGTAAAGTAATTTTGCTAAACACCTTTTGGGAGGGGGCAGAGAAAAGCAAATCATATGGAAACAAATGTATAAAAATATATAAAGTTACATATTGTAATTCAAGGCAAATACATTAGTATGATGAAAACTTTTTAAGGCAGTTTTTTTAGATGATCTTTTTCCTCCTCTCCCCCCCTTGGCTTAGGATCAGCTGAGATTCATCTCAGGTTGAATCATTTTGAAAACTACTTTGGCTTTTCCTTTTGCTGCCCTGGGTACAAGTTCAATGGTATCACTAGGAGCTGTCTCATTTCTCTAGGGAAATGAGACAAGGTTTTGGTACCAGGAGTGGTTGTAAAGAAACAGAATTTTAAGGATGAATTTCCATAATTAGTTTTGGGGTTTCTGGAATTATTTCTTTAATCTTGTTAGACATTAAAATGCTAAGGACTCTATGTTTAATAGTATAGAGAGCACTGAAAATCCATGCTGTGCTCTGTTTATAGATATACACAAAATAAATATGTTTAACACTAATTCACTTCTAAGAAGCAGGGAACTTAGTGACTCTGTACATGACATTTTTGAACATTTGTGGAAAATCAAGGAATATAATGATTTTGTGTGGTTCCAACACTGGACAAAATGATGAAAGAAAAGGATGAACTCAGGGATTTGAATTCTAGGCTCCAGATGCACGTAAATAGCCTAAAAGCTTTTCAGTGTGCCCTGAAGGAGAATCTTCTCTCCTGTAGTCATAGGGTTGAAATTGCTGAAAATCAAACAAGCGTTCATCATGTGATGGGCTGACTTACAATTAAAGGTGAACTCTCAGCCTTGTAGATTGTCCGCCTTTTTTTTTCTTGACTTCATTATGAACTTGAGCAGGTTGTCTACTTTTAAAGTGAAGGCACTTATTGGGAAAGAAGGGGAATAATTGGATCCTGGGGTTGTAGAACTCAATGACCAAAGGCAAGATGGGCACAGTTGATGGGCATCAGAGATAAAGCAGCAATCAGAGTAGTCCAATTCATGTAGACCTTTGGTGTTGGTTAGTCATAGTGTTCTTAGAAATGAACAGATGGGAGGCTTACTGCATTCTTACTTGATCTGTATAAGCAGAAAACTTCCAGGTCAGGTGAACAAAAATCCTACTTGGATTATAAAAACAGAGTCATGGCCCCTTAGTCAAGTTCCAGACATGAGCCAATTTACAGACTCAGAACCCCTTGCATGAAGGGGAGGCTGGGTCCCCTTGAGGAAGGATCTCAGTACACTCTTGCACTTTGCTTGCAAGGAGAAATTACCAGATGTGTGATTATGTGCTTATTCATGGGCTGTAGCCAATGGTTTGGCTGGATGGTCAGGAACATGATTTGAAAATTGGTGACAAAGAAATTTGGAGAAGTATTTGTGGGTAGACTTCTCATGATATTTTATCTTGTGAATGCTCACCAAAGAGTGTCCTCAGCAGAGGAGGATTTTAATAATCAAGTGAATAGGATGACTCATTCTATGGCTACCAGTCAGTGTCTTCCCCAGCCATCCCTGTTGTCACCCAATGGGCTCATGAACAGAGTGGCCATGGTGGCAGAAATGGAGGTTATGCGTGGGCTCAGCAACATGGACTCCTATTCATCAAGGCCAACCTGGCTATGGCCACTGCTGAGTGCTCACTCTGCCAGCAATAGAGACATGGTACAATTCCCCAGGGTGATCAGCCAGCTCCCCAGTGACAAGTTGATTACATTAGACCATTTCTATTGTGGAAGGGGCAGTGTTTTGACCTTACTTGAATAGATAATTACTCTGGATATGGATTTGCCTTTCCTGCCTGCAATGCTTCTGCCAACACCGTCATCCATGGGCTTACAGAATACCTTGTCCACCACCATGGT